AAGAAAGAAGCAAGGTAGAATAGAACAAGCATGGATAGAGAACACTACAAACATGTAAATAGAGAACACTACAAGCATGGAAGAACTGTGTGTGCAGTAGTGTAACAAAACGGTGTTTAATCAGAAAAGTCAATCTGTTATACAAAAACATCAGTATAATGGACAGAAGGATGAGAGTCATTCCTTAAAATCAGTTCCTTAAAGCTTTCAGCCCTTTGCTTTAAAAAAATGATTCCCTTCAATAAGGGAACTTTCAATTAACAACTCAATAAGTCACTGTTGGATCTTTTAAGGAATGACTCTAGCTTATTGAGTAGTTAATTGAAAGTTCCCTTATTGAAGGTAATCATTTTTTTAAAACCAAAGGACTGAAAGCTTTAGGGAACTGATTTAAAGGACTCAAAGCAATAACATCAAGGATGCTTGCTGGCAGAGGTTTGTCAAAAGCATATATCGAACCACATCATTTTTCCACCCTTTAATGTGTGAGAACCCTAAGTCCGTCAACTACAAGGATGGACCGGACTGGTTCATGAATTAAAACTACAAACATGAATGAAAGAGACAGATGAGTACAAAGAAACCCACCTCTTAGCGTGCGCGATGTGCGGCTCAGCGTGCGAGGTGTGCGGCTCACCGGAGGGAATCGGAAATCTGCTCTGGGATGTGGGATGTGCGGCTCACCAGAAGAGTACCAATCGGCTCTGGCCGATTAGCTCATCACAGCGAAAACAAAACTGTCGAATGGGGATTCCTTAGGGTTTTCTTTTGATTTGGTTATTATTTGGGTAATTTGGCCCTATGATTTGGTGGGATAGTGTTAGCACTTAACATATTTAGGTTGGCGGGATGTTTTACTTAATATTAAACATGGTGCGAATTTTTTTAATCTTTGGCGCTAAAGCTTTCTCGTAAAGCATTACATTAGCCTATAAAAAAATGTAACATTTTTTAAGCGGATGTTTGTATACATCCAAAAGAAAGAATTGTGTTACATTAGAACAACACTAACGTAACAGTATGTAACAGTAGTTACGCGAATGAACCAAATGATACATAACCATTACAATAGATGCACTTACTGTAACGCTTCTACTAACCGTTACACACAAAACGTTGCATTAGGCCCGAAAATGTAGTAGTGGCATTAAGTACTTTTCTACTAAAATGTACTCATATAATTTCATGTGAAATTATCATGGAGAATGTTGCCTCCGATGATAATCTAATTAGCTAGATAGACTACACAATCCGCATAATTCACAATTTGGTATACCACATAGATCGAAATTATATGCTCCGTAATTAACTCCAAATAAGGTATATGATTAAATTCACAATTGCCCCTTACATTCATTATTTAATTTGTTAAATTATACCGTAGGAAAAGAGGTAAATGTTTCAATATACTCCCTCCGTATCTATTTACTTGTCTCACTTTGCCTTTCGAGACGTATAAAAAAATGTCTCATTCCCTTTTTGAAATCCACTCAAAAGCAGCTACAGTACCGTTATAGTACCGTTACAATACCAAAACCTCCTACGATTCTACCTTACACATTTTTGCCTTAAACTAGGTAATAAAGCAAACGGGCCAACTAAATAGATGAGGAGGAAGTATGTACTTACTTGATGAATCGGTTGTATGCTGAGGGGACTCGATGTCTTCTTTCTGGCGCTGTGCCCATCATATACACCACGGCAATACATTTTACATTAGCGCAATTCAAGATCAAAATTATTGCACAATAATCAAATACCAAAATACAAACTTATTGGTTATGTTTGGTAAATGACTTATCAGCCAACTTTTAGCTTATTTGACCCTTTCAGCTGTTTGATTAGTCAAAGAAGCTAATAATAATGTTTGGTAAATGACTTTTAAAATTAGCTTGTTGAGTTTGAAAAGCTGAAAAAATGGATGATTGAAGAAGCTAAGGGGATAAGCCAAATCTCGTGCTGCTCAAATAGGGCCCACAGTGGCAAACATATTCTTGAATTACTTCTCTTATACAGAGTAGGTTTTATATATTTTAAAAATGAAACGTATGGTTCATAGTTTTTTTAAGGTAGATTCTATGGTTTCCAAAAGGTACCATAACTTTTGTCCATATGGACCAATCAAAATGATACAGTTAAATTATTTAAATCTAAATTAAAAGGAGTAATGATTTGGACCATTCAAATACATGGTAGGTACGGTACCCCATTTTTTAAATGGGTACCGGAATTGTCACCTTTATTAAATAAATTCAGATGTGGATTCAAACATACATGGTGGAGTGGTAGCCCTATATGACTCTCGTGTTAGAGTGCTTTTATGTAGCCCGAATATGGGTGAAGGTGCACGACATAACCATAATTACATAATTTTTAGAAATGCCTCAATATACTATTAAAATTTATGCAAAGTTCAAAAATAGGACTAAGTATATTGTATTCCTCAAATAAGACTTATTTAGTCATATTAAAAGAATTTGTTGATTAAATTTTTTCAAAATAGAAATAAATGGGTCCTATTATGGAAATAGAACAATAATAATTCTATTTGATAACTTTATGCTTGTTTTAGTCCTATTTAGTGAGATCCTTTTAAAACTATAAAAGAATTTGGGATTTGTGGTATCAAAATCTGGCTAGATGCATAAAATTAATAGTAGGTATATATTAAATGATTTTAAAAGTTTTTAAAAGTTATGTTTTTCGAAGTTTATTTAATAAGAATTATTTGTAATATTTGTAGCTTTCTTTCTAAAGATTACAACAGAATTATAATTGTTTCCAATCAATAAACCAGACTTTTTCTCTCTCTAGAGCCACCGCATCGGTCGGCCTAGGGTTTGTCCGGTGGCGGTTCTTAGGCACGGCACCGTGCTTTTTGTTTGTTGGAGTCACTATTACAATTTTAGACCTAATGTAACATTAAAGATGTAACATACCTATAAAAGTGTTACATATTTCTCCAATGTAACACTTTCTAGATCTAAGGTAACACTTTTTAGATGTATAAATGTTACTCCGTACATTAGGGACTATAAAGTGTTACAATAGAGCAAATGCAACATGAGCAAAAGTAATGGTAAAAAAGTGTTACATTTTCTCTATTGCAACACTTTTCACTAATATTGTAACACTTTTGGGTGATACATTAGGTGTTGAAGTGTTGTAGCGAGTTTCTTTCATTTGGATTGGTTGGAAGAAGGTGCGGTTGCGGAGCTCTATTTCGTTTTGATTTGGGATTCAACAAGAAGGGTTCGTTGTTGAAGGAGAGCAAAGCAAGGCGTCTCTCGATCGAGTTCTCTGTAGGTTCTTCTCATTGCAGTCCCGCTTCGTCGGCAGATATGGAGGTGGAAACGAGTTTCGGATATTCATTTGAGTTTTCTTTTTTCGATCTGGGAAGCTTTGTGGACAAATACAAGACGATGGCGATTGGCGCAGAGAAAGAAGACCTGAATCTGAATAAAGCTGATGTTGAAGCTGTTGTGGATGAACGGCGGGTGCGTCCCCCTCCTGAGCCGCCGCCGTGGAGTGCAAGCAAATCTAGGGTTTTGGAAGAAGATGAGTGAATTCTACTTTAATTTCATTTTATTTAGTTTGTGTTTTTCTGTCGAGTTGTATGTTGTTTGGTTCTGTTTTGGTATTTGTTTTTTCGTTTATTTTCTAGTTTGTAAGACGTTGATTTTGGATATGGGGATGAGAGGAATATGGTAACCGTTTTTTACTTTTGGTTTCCCATTTATGAATCAACGAATTATATTGCTACGGTGATTAATTCCGAGTCTGGTTCACGGGATAACAGTTGTCAGATTTCCTTTTGTCATTTGACCCATACTCTGAATTATCTGTTATCGATCAAAGCGGAATTGCAAAAAAAAAAAAAAGATTACAACAGAATTATTTTAACCAATTTAGATATACCTTGATTGATAATTTTTGTATGATGATGATTAGGTCTGCCATAACTTGATAACTTCTAACATTTTATTTATTACTGTCTTCAGTCAATGAATTTTAAATGCGGATGATATAAGAAAATCAAATCGAACCCTTTAAACTTTAAGACCTAGCTAGAGATTTAGATAAGAATGAAATCCAATTAAGCCGTGGGGTCGGTTTATTAGAACTCAAAAGATAGACCATTCTTATATAAAGGTTTGAATCTATTTTTCCTAGCGGGTAGGCCTCAAGGATAATTTCTGTAAGGATTATGGTGGACTGAAATATTAGGTGACTTAAATTTTTTTCAATTTTTATATGTAGTTTAACCTACTAATGTTGGAATTTAACGTAATTGCTTTTCAACTAGTCCAAATCAGATTCTTAGATACGAGTAACAAGGAGAATGAACATATAACTCTCAAGAATTAAAATATATACGAGTATCAAGGAGAATGAACATATAAGTCATATGAGTTCGAGAAATCACAGTTTATAAGTTTTTCTAATATAATAAATTAATGATTTAAACGGCGTATCAAAATTTCAATTATATGTTTGAAATATTTTTGATATTTCCAGATATATTTTATTACTTTTAGACATTTCTTGATAACCTTTTAGAAATCGCAATATGACCAAGGACATCATAGAATTCGATTAGAGAAAGCACCATATTTTTATTTCTTAAATAAAAATCATTACTATCATGCATGAAGATAGTGCCATTTATGGCATTATAAACCCATATTTAACTCCCGATAATGTAAAGTTAATTATTACACTAAAATTTGAAGATGTCAATGAACTACTCTTATATATAGAATCATTACTATCATGCATGAAAAGTGTCATATATCTATATTTGATTTTTATTCATAATTTCCCCCTAAGTTTTAAATAATTGCCTCTTAAATTTATTGTAAAGTATTAAGGGAAAGTATTTTCGTATTTATTTGTAATATTCTCTTGGCTTATTGGGTATAATTTAGACTCCTTGTAAACACCAATAAGCCCAACCTCTTTGTATTTAAATACTCCTCTAATCATGGAATAATATAACACTTGAAAACCCTAAACACTTTGTTCTTTAACATGGTATCAGCTTCCCAGGGGTGATCTGCGGCCGCCTCCTCGACCGCACCCATGACAGCCAACGGGGACTCCGACGACACTTCCGGCACCCCGCTCAACATGGCTTCCGGTTCAACCTCTATCTCTATCAATCTACCAAAACTTAATATTCTCTTGGATCGTTCGAATTACATGCTATGGCGTCACACAGTTCGCTCGGCTCTTGAAGCTTTCGAGCTTGATGATTTCCTCTCCTCTAAAGCCATGCCTAATCCATTGGTCAAGCCTACCGATTCCACTAGTTCAACGCCGGTTGCAAATCCAGTGTATCTCGAATGGCGAAAGAAGGACAGGTTAATTCTTCTTTGGATCCGTTCCATGTTAACTACACCATTACTTGTTCATGTTGCACGCGCTACATCCACCCATGAAGCGTGGGATATTTTATCACGCATGTTTTATTCTCAAAATCGCGCTCAACTCATGCATCTCAAAACACAACTCCAACAATTTCCAAAAGGTGATTTATCCATCTTGGATTATGTTGAAAAGAAACGGTCCTTTTCTGATGCATTAGCTGAATGTGATTATATTGTTCCTGATGAGGAGTTTGTTGAAAGTATTCTTAATGGCCTTGATGCATCATATTCGGCCTTTCGTTCTGCCTTCAATTTGCATTCGGAACTCATTAGTTCTCATGATCTACTTGGTCTACTGCTGCGTGAGGAAGCCCGCCTGAATTCAGAGAGAACTAGCTCCCTAACTGCCACTGCATTGGCAGCTACCCGGTCGGGTGCAGGGGGAACCCGGTCGGGTTTGCCAGACAGTAGGGGTGACTTCGTATCCAGTTCACGCCCAATTTGCCAAATCTGTCAAAAACCAGGTCATGAAGCCGTCAATTGCTGGCACAGGGCAAATTTTGACACCTATCCCGAGACCAAGCCACGACAACCTTCTCGTCGTGGACAGCAGCAGCCCCGCCGTGGACAGCCGCGTCGTGGTCCGCAATCTCAAGCTTCCATGCCGGGTTCTGTCTATAACACTCAAGCTCCTCCAGCTCTCAATCCTATTCCTTTACCGCCAGGCCAGCAAGCTTATCAGGTTCAGAATCCTCCTTCAACTCTACTTGACCCGTGGTGTTTTGATTCTGGCGCAACAAATCATGTCACAGCTGATTTTGGTAATCTCTCTGTTCATTCCAATTACACCGGTAATGAAGGGTTACAAGTTGGTAATGGTATGACTCTGCCCATAACTAGTTTAGGTCATTCTACTTTACAAGCATCACATGCTCCTGTTCATCTTAATAATATTTTATTTGTACCGGGCATCAAAAAGAACTTACTCAGTGTTTCTCAACTCACCCGTGATAATAATGCTTATATGATATTTTTTCCTACCTGTTGCTTTGTGAAGGATCTCCAAGGACGGACGTTACTCACCGGACGCGTTGAAAATGGACTGTATCACCTTCAACCACCCCATACTACATCTCCCTCTCCTCGCATTTACCTCGGTGAAAAGACGTCTCTCCAAACTTGGCATCACCGTTTTGGACATCCACATGAGTCTGTTTTGCGTCGATTAGTTTCTAGATTTAATTTACCTATTTCTTCAAATAAATTATCTTCAATTTGTGAATCTTGTCAATTAGGGAAAAGTCATCGACTTTCCCTAACTAGTACTCACTCCTCTAGTTTGCATCCTTTTGATTTGATTTATTCTGATGTGTGGGGCCCAGCCCCGGTGAATTCCTTTAATGGCAATAAGTATTTTGTTATTTTTGTTGATGATTGCACAAAGTTTGTATGGATTTATTTTTTACATCAAAAGTCACAAGTTCTTTCCACTTTTCAACTTTTTCAGGCCATGATTGCCACCCAATTTAACTCTAAAATTAAACAACTCCAGTCCGACTGGGGTGGAGAATATAGATCACTTTCTGCTTACCTACACACCCAGGGTATTCTCCATCGTCTTTCTTGCCCTCACACGCAATCCCAAAATGGAGCGGCTGAGCGTCGTCATAGGACGATTGTTGAAAAAGGCTTAGCCTTGCTTGCTCATGCACATATGCCTTCCTCCTTTTGGGAACATGCGTTTCACACTAGTGTTTATTTACACAACCGCACTCTTACACCCATTTTACAAGACAAATCACCTTTTGAATCTTTATATGGCAAACCTCCTAACTACTCCCTTTTAAAGTCTTTTGGTTGTCTTTGTTATCCTCTTTTACGACCCTACAATGCTAACAAACTTGAGTTTAGGTCCTCTCCTTGCATTTTTGTTGGTTATAGCTCCAAACACAAGGGCTATCAATGTTTTCATGTTCCCACTAACCGCATCTATATTGTTAGGCATGTCATGTTTGATGAGACGTCCTTCCCATATCCCTCCCATGCTCACCTTGCTTCCCTTACCCCCCTCTCCTCCACCCGAACCGTATCTCCTCAACCATTACAGCTAGCCTCCACACCCTCTTCTCCTCTGTTTAACCCCTCTAGCTCACTGCCTGACCAGCCTGATCGGGTATCTCCATCACCCGTCCGGGTACCTCCCTCGCCTGACCTACACCACTTTCTGGTTCCCTCACCCGATCGGGTATCTCCCTCACCCGACCGGGTAACCGGACATTCCCAACCAAACAGCACCGCACCAACTACAGATTCATCTTCAAGCTCCGGTGCAACGGCTCAGTCCTCGGATTCTGCGCAACACTCAGGTATATCCTCCTCACCCTCTTCTTCCATGATTCCTACTTATTACCGACCTGTTGATACCTCCACCCATCCCATGATCACTCGTTCCAAAACAAACCATCTTAAACCCAAATCTCTCCTCTCCACTAAACATCCACTTTCCATACCCTCGTCTATACCCTTTGAACCACAGACCTTTCTTCAAGCAGCCAAATATCCTGAATGGCAGCATGCGATGCAAGTAGAGTATGATGCTCTAATTAAAAATGGGACTTGGGATCTTGTCTTACCTCCTCGTAACTCTAATATTGTTGGTTGTAAGTGGGTGTACAGGGTAAAGAAGCATGCTGATGGCACTATTGAACGTTATAAAGCACGCCTGGTTGCTAAGGGGTTTAATCAGGAGGAGGGTGTTGACTACTCAGACACCTTCAGTCCGGTTATTAAACCTACCACCATTCGTATTGTGCTCTCCTTGGCTTTATCCTTTGGGTGGAAATTACGACAGGTTGATATTGCTAATGCTTTTCTTAATGGTGATCTCTCTGAAACTGTTTACATGACACAACCTCCAGGTTTCATAGATCGTGCTCGCCCTACACATGTTTGTCTGTTGCGGAAAGCTCTCTATGGTCTTAAACAGGCCCCTCGTGCTTGGTTTCAAAAATCCGCCAGTTTCTTCATCACCATCACTTCGTTGCATGCAAATCTGACACTTCATTGTTCTTACGCCGTCACAACGGTACCACTCTCTATGTCTTAATTTATGTGGATGACTTAATTATCACTGGTTCTCATTCTACAGAGATTGATACTTTTGTGACTGCACTTAATGATGCCTTTACACTACGTGACTTGGGAGATCTTCATTACTTTCTAGGCATAGAGCTAAAGCGCTCCACTTCCTCTATTTTTCTGAGTCAACAGAAATACATCACTGAGCTTCTCTTGCGTAGCAAAATGCATGACGCTCGTCCAATTGTATCACCTGCCGAGCCAGGCTCTCGACTCTCAAATTCTGGTGATCCTATGGCTGAGCCTAATCTTTACCGTAGTGTTGTTGGAGCTCTCCAATATGTCACTATCACACGGCCCGAGATATCTTATGCTGTTAACCGTGTGTGTCAGTTCATGCATGCTCCTACAGACATTCATTGGCAAGCAGTCAAGCGCATCCTTCGTTACCTCAAAGGCACCATCTCCACCGGTCTCCACCTACGGCCTTGCACAGATAATCGTCTTGTTGCTTTCTCTGATGCAGGTTGGGCTTCTGATATTGATGATTGTCGCTCACAACATGGCTTTGCTATTTATTATGGTGGTAATCTTATCAGTTGGGCGTCCAAGAAACAGCATGTTGTCGCCAAATCCAGTACCGAGGCTGAATATCGAGCCATTGCATTCACATCCACTGAACTCATTTGGATTCAGCAGCTTTTGCGGGAATTACAGGCTCCACTCAACATCCCACCCATTCTCTTATGTGATAATCTTAGTGCCACCTACATGGTTGCCAATCCTGTGTTTCATCAACGCTCCAAGCACATTAAAATTGACTATCATTTTGTTCGCGAACAAGTTGCGGATGGCTCTCTTATTGTTCGTCATGTTCCTGCTCTGGACCAGATTGCTGACATTTTCACCAAAGCTGTTGGAAACTCACGCTTTACTTCTCTTCGTTCCAAGCTCCATGTTGATCAATCTCCATGAGCTTGCCGGGGGGTATTAAGGGAAAGTATTTTCGTATTTATTTGTAATATTCTCTTGGCTTATTGGGTATAATTTAGACTCCTTGTAAACACCAATAAGCCCAACCTCTTTGTATTTAAATACTCCTCTAATCATGGAATAATATAACACTTGAAAACCCTAAATACTTTGTTCTTTAACATAAAGAATCGAGAAGTTTTAGTTTTGTCCTTCAAAAAGTTATACGAGTTGAAAAAGTTTTAGTGAAAGCTGATAATTAGAGTAAGATTTTTGGTAGGGTGGATGTGACAGATCTTATCCCTAATAACCTTTTTTAATGCCAAGAAAAGCCAGTAGCCGTAAAGGACGCAGAGCACGCAGTGATGGATTCCCATCTCCCTATGCTATGCGTGCTTCAATAAATCGGTGTCACAACTGACTTGGATACATATGATTTGTCACTATCACTATCAGTTCTCTCAAATAAAGGCCTTCAAAAAAAAAAATAAAGGCCTTTTTTTTTAAATAAAGGCCTTCAATACTTGAGTGCATATCTAACTTACTTTAATTTCTTAAACATAAAGAAAAACGTTAGGGCTATTTAAGTCAAGAACCCCACCTATCCAAGCCATAGACCCAAGGTAAACATAGAGCCTCTTTGATAAGATTAAAATTAGATAAACCCACTCTTTGGATTGATGGATTTTTGTGATTCTCAACTGAAATTCTGAAATTCTGAACTGAATACTTGAACCCGTTAACTTACCAAGTACCAATAACCAAACTTCAAGTGATATGAAATGCGTGTAAACTATTTTGCATTTCAGTCTGGTAAAGCTTGATTCTTTACCTTTAGTGTACTTATTCTCTCAAGATGTTTGTGTTCGGAGTTTCAAAATGTTGACTCTAGTAACGTACTATAATGATTCTGAAGGGTAGTAATAATGATTACATGCTAATCTAACGAGGCTTAGATTTTTGATGATTAGTAAGAATACATTATTAAGTGAACAATAGCGGAAATCTGGGCCATATTCTGTTTTTTTGTTTTTGGTAGATGATGAAGTGCTTATAATCAAAAGTGTTACACACAGAGACTTCAATGCAATGATAAAGGTATTTTTTTTTACCCTGGATGTTCACTTTTCTTTATGTAGTCCTTTATGTCAACATGTATGCCAATTTGATGCTACCCACCTTTCTGGCAGCAAATACCAAATCCAGTTTACCTCTTTCAAGGCATTGTCTTGCGCAGAGGTGCAAAAGGAACTAGAATGAAGTCAATAGAACTAGCACTTTCCATGTGTGACATTGTTGACATGTATGGTTTCACAGTTGATCCTGGGTATACAGAATGGTAAGTTCTGAAACTATTCAGTGAAAGGAAAAAAGATTGATTGTTGTAGAAGAGAGCTTGTTGTTGATTGATTTTACTTGAAAGTTATATTAATATTTGTCCAAAAGGGCCCCATTTGTTACGCAGGTCCATGGGGGGTCAGGGTGGTCAGCAGACCCCGCTGAAAGTTTGAGAGTATAGAGCTGTGAAATGTCTTCGATTTGATATATTATGACCCCCATAACTCATCATGAGTAAAAAGTTATGACTTCTGAAAAATCAACACTATATAAACATAAAATCAACGAAATTTGATGCGTAATATGAATTATTTGCCAAATTTTAAAAATAGTGTATAATTAACTCATTGATTACGTGACATTACTCAGAAAAAGAGCACAAACAACTATCTTATTGCTATGAGTGTCTATTTATCTAAACTACATATGAAACATTAAACTCAAATATTGTCTAAAAACGATCCACCATTTTCACTTTGTATATAGTTGATTTTCGCCCCCTCAACCACTTTTATGGCTCCGCCACTGAGTGTTACCGTTGGCTCCTAATGTAACGTTCTTCAAGTGTAAAGAACTGTAAAGTAGATTGTATCGCGTTGCACATGGCAAAAGTCAGGGATTAATACTAAAATGTAATTGAGCTTTATATGTTCGGAATATATATACCTAATAGGCCAATAGATGATGGATAAAGACCCATTGGAAAATAAGTCGCCAGATAAAAATCATGTAAATAATTTAACAATGCATAATATGCAAGCATGTTGATGATCATATAGTATTTATTTAATGATCATATCATATTGTATAGGGGAGGTGCAAGTGATAATATTATTTATAAGTTTATAACTCTTGAAGCTGGGATGTATAGTTAAAAAAAATATTGAAGACGGGCTTTTTGACTTGTAGGTTGACTGACATGTGAAAGAAATTGGCCATATATGTTCTTAAATGGTCATGGCGGTAGAAGTCATTCTCTACATCGTGTTTAGCTTCATACGGAGTACTAGTATTATTTTTCTGGATAACAAAGTCAATATATTGTAATGTGAGAAAAAAACTTGGGATGAACTCACCCCAAATGATCCCCAATATGTGAGGTTTAACTCTACTAATATTGTAGAATAATATGTGACTTTTAACACACTTCTTCTCTCCAAAACAGATTGAACAATTTAAAGCCTAAAAAATAGGCCATCGTGACCCAAAATAAGCTAACCAATTCGGCACTGAACAAACAAATAAACACATGGCCTTTAATTGAAACACAAAAAAAGTGACTTTAATTATAATAATCCAATAATATGACTATGAGTTGTTATGCATGTGGTTTAGATAAAGAAATTACCTAGTGCGATTGGCTATAATGAAGGCTTCCAAAGAAAAAAATACGGAGCAATTAAATGAGAGTTATAGAGTTATACATGGTAATTGAAAGAGAGAAATTAGGAGCATTTTCAGTTTTTCTTGCCATCTTCTTTCGAGGAAAAAAATGATAGGGATATATGACGAATACCGGCGATTGATTGCGATGAACCAAACCCGGTGGATCTACAAATATATAGACCAATACAGTGACTGAAATCTACAGGTATGTTGAGATATCTGATACGTTATGATATAAATTGTATTAGGGACTCACGATGTGATAATGGCTCACCGTGTGAGTAACTACGACAGTGACTCAAATCCACATAGGAGATTTCTAGAGGTATGTTGGCATGACACAATGTGACATAAGTGGTATTAGTGACTCACCATGTATTATAAATTAGTGACGCATTATGTTATAGTGACTCATCACGTGAGTAACTAAAGAGTGAATGAACCCTTTTAAATTTAAAAGTGACTCTACGTATCTTCATAAAAATTGAAATCAAAATCCATGCAAAATAGCTATTTCCCCCTATTTGTTCAAATTGATACAAATAACAGAGGAGGTATTTTTATAAAAAACTTAAATGTTGAGAAAAGATTAGAAATTGGGATTTATCATTGACGAGAATAATGATATACGAAGTATATGAGTATATGACGATTGTAATGAGTAAGAACAAACTTGAGCATATTAACTCTTGATTTGGAACTTTCTCGGGGGGATGACGATGATTTGATGTTAGGAGAGTCAATGGAAACACAAATTCAGCTGGGAAGAAAGAAAAAGAAAATAAAGCTTGATGGAAGTCGCATGAAAGAAGAGATAGGCTATGTTTGGCAAGCAAAAGTCCATGTTTTCTAGTTTTTGTATTATTTAAAAAGTCTCTAAAAGCTCCTGGTTGTATGTTTGGTATGATATTTTTAAGAGTTTTAAAAAAATAAAAAGCTTTTTTTTGAGATGCTACAAGGAGTAGCATCTGAAAAAAGTCTGTGACTTTTAGCATTAATTAGTCCCTACAGCTTCTATACCAAACAGAACTAAACCAAACAGTCAGCTTTTTACCAAACAGCTACTATCTTTTACTTTTAAGATCTTTTCAGTCACTAAAAGTTAACAGTTAATAAAAAGTCTGTAAAAGTATCTTTTCAGTTAGTTGTGCCAAACATACCCATAGAATTAAAGATGAATTAAAGATAAGAAAGGTCGGTGTTCAAGATGATTACCACCAAAAAACGATTCATTGTTCTATTAATTATATGCTTAGTCACTTTTATGGAAAAATTAGAGATAGTCATATGTTTAGAATTGAAAAACTAATGCTAATATAGGTGCCATTTTTTTCTAAACACATACCAACATCCCAACATGATTTATTTATTCATATCGTATGTATATGGATATTTTATATTCATTTAATAAAGTTGTGAGTTTCTTTTCCAGTTTTTAAGTTTTCATTTATTTACGTTTAATTCCATAATAATATGCTTAAGGGACATAATTATATGCTTTTTTAATAATGACATTATTATATGCTTATTATTTTAAATTGTTAATATGAGACACTTAACCGTACCATTTAAGACCAATACATGGATTTTAGCTCATGGCGATATTCCACAAGTAAAATTTTTTTTAGAGATATAATTAACAAACTTATCACATAAATAGTGACTCGGTAACAGAAAATTTTCATTGAACGTGTCCACCTATTAAACATAAGGACTGAGAGTAATTAGTATAATCCACAATAATGATGTACTTCGTATGTAATATTCTCAAACGGTCAAACCTGATGTGTCATTAAGTGACACGAGATTAGTACTTTTGTCACTTGTTTAAAATTAATTGCATTTTAAAGTCAAGAAACGATGATTGAACAAAATAAAAATGACAATTTTCAAGATTTGAATTGTTTCAATAAAGATATCAGAAATTGACCTAAATAGGAGTAAAAACGTTTTGAAATTTCAAAATAGGAGTATCATGTTCAAGGAATAAAAAACATGATACTCCTATTTTCGAATTTCAAAACGTTTTTACTTCTATTTAGGGAATTCTCTCTAAAGATATATATCATCTTATAAAAGGGTATAAAGGCGCCAAGCACCATTAAAATATGTTATGTAAGATTTTATGGCATATCATGTAATCCAATTGGATAATCATAATGTCTTGTTAGAGACTGCTCAATAGATTTTCATCAGTCCTAATGTTCTATAAACCAATAGAGAAACAACCAAGTCACTCCTTTTGTTGTTGCTTGTCCTTCCAAGTATCTCTTCTAGTTAATAACAACATCCTTGATTGAAAGATCAACAGTGATGTCATTAAACCACAATTTATTAATGTTTGAAAGGACAATATATACAACAATCCAAATATTTCAGTTATATAACCCCTTTATCCTCCTATTCTTGCACTCCTCTTTGGGCCCAATATGCAAAACTAATTTTCAGCTAGGTAACCTCTTTATCCTCCTATTTTTGCATACAAGAGTTTGAGAGCCGCCTTATGAAATAGCTGTATAAGGAATGAAATTATGGAAGAAAGGAAGAAGTGCGAGTAACAATACTTACTTCTAAGAGCTCATATTTTATCCAACCTATTTGAAATTTCATACTTACATAAACTAACATACAATTAACCTTATTCAGTTATTCAATAAGAAGGTTGTCCAAAATATATATGTATCTAAAGAGTGAATAATAAACTCTGGCTACCTACATGATATACCTAAGAAAGGGATGAAATTAAATAATCACACTTGAAGAATGAATATTATTATGTACTCGCCCGTACAAATACAAATATTCAATGATAATATGATACTATTTGGTCCACCCTAATAATAGATAAAGTATGTTGGAATTCCAAATAATTTACTTACAGTTTCGAAACATAATTCCCATCTTACACACATGAATACATATGAATATGATTACATACACACATATACTTCGTATATCATACACTCATATATAAGTGCTATTTCAATAGGTACCACAAAAATATTATCACAAATGGAGTCTTAATTTTAACCAATCAAGAGACTCAACATCAACCCATGATGATCATTTTAGAGCTCATTGAATGATGCATTAAAATATATGCATATTTATTTCTTAGTTACATAAGGTACCTATTGAAACCCTCTTATACATGGTTGATTACTTTTAGGAATATATAATAATTTCTTAGCAGAGACCAATGGATTTCTGAAGCCCTTCCCCTCCCACTGAATGATCTAACTGGGCTTGCTTGTTATCCATATTTAGCCCAAAATGGATGTGAGGGAAATGTGCCCACTGCAAATATATTAAAGTAGGAATTATAAGAAAGGGGAATCACATATACATCCATGTCTCTATAAGCCAAATTTCTAAAAGATGTACGTACTTAATGCCAAAATAAAAATTAGAACCACCACTCTTCACTCAAAACTACATTTAATTTCCATAAAAAATCATCTATCAAAATACTCTACTTTAATTTGTACTCAATTCCAAAAGTATCACGCCTTACTAATTATTCGATACAAAAACGTGTGACCGGAAAAAGTAGTTTTGGTATATTTAAAAAGGGATTATAGTGGAAATTAAAAAAAAAAATAGTACCACCCATGTCATGAAGTACATTTTTTTGCTCGTCCGTTTCAATATAAACACTTATTTCCTTTTCAAGTAAAGATTTTGCGACTCAAACGTTACAAAAACACAATTCGCATTTTCTTAATTTGTTTGAATATATAGTACGTAGATAGAGTATGAGTATGTACTAAATACATAAAGAACACACTGCACACCAATGTGCTCACTAGGACGCATATTACAAAATAAATGATCACGGTTTTCTTAAATTCTTAGATCCTGAATCCCGAGTTTCGGATTATTTCTCAAGCTAACGCGCAATTTTTTCTTCGCAAAAATGCTACTTGTACACGCCGTTTTACACGCTCGTTTACACGTCAGGTGTGTTTATTTGAAAGGAACTATCTGACATCGAAATGTAAATTGTCTGTGCGCAGATAGTTCGGATTCAGAAACAGTTCTCTTTACTAAAATAAAAATCACTTTTCTGTGAATAAATAGAATACATCTGACATGTAAATGAACGTGTAGAACTGTACAAGTAATATTTTTGTTTTTTATAGATGGATTAAAAAAAAAATACTTCGTAGTTTACGATGCCGTGCAACTTTCAAACCTGATGTTGGTGTGACACTTTAGATCATAAACCAAATGGGGGTGGGGTGGGGGTTACATACATTTTTAGCAGCAGTGCTGAAAGCTTCCCGGTGGCTAATGTCTGGGTTGCTTGCTTTTATCCTCTGGATCTCCTCCCTAATATCAATTCATTTTCTGTCGTTATTCACATTTCCAAACAAATACCGTACGTACAAAGTAAATCTGTCTTACTTTTCAAACGAAAAATGCAGCCAATTTGAACCACTTTAATCATACTATGAAAGATCTAAGTGTCATGTCTGGGCCTATGCCCGTTGGGCATAGCTTCTCTAACTTAATTGTCAGAAAAATTGGAACTACTCCCTCCGTCCCTAAATGTTGTTCTAATTGCGGATTACGAAGGTTGACCGACGATAAAGTTAAATGATCCCTGTGAAAACTCGGATTATTTTTAGTAAATAAAATTTACATATTCAGAAACTACATTAAACCCGCTACAAAGCCTGCAAAAAATAATTCAACTTTTATAAAATTTTGATATAAAAAGTAAGAGTTTAAGAGTGATTTAAGTTGACCCTCGAAAAGTGAAATGGAACTTCTTTTAGGGATAGAGAGAGTACATTTATAGGACACGACACTTCATAAGTCATAACCTAGCTGAGATGCACAATAGTACTCCCCCTAAGTTAAGAAAGACATTTGCTATAAGTAGATTGGATTGAGTGTTACTTTGCAAACGCTTTAAAAAAAAAGCACTTCTCGGTTTTTGACTTTAAAAAAGTACTTTTTACCAAACACAACAACTTTTATTTTTCTCGGCTTTTGACTTTCGTGTCAAAAGTGATTTTACTTTTTCTATTACACAAAAAGCACTTATTTTACCAAACACTACCAACTTTTACTTTTCAAAATCACTTTTTTCTCAAACACTATCAACTTTTATTTAATCACTTCTCTCCATTTCATTAAAAAAGCATTTTTTAAAGCAGAAGCTGTTGCAAACAGACCCTGAATTCTTAAGCAAGAGTTAAAGGCATTTTCATTTATGAAATTATTATTAGAGGATGATTCTAAAGCCAATTATTTCCAAAAGTATGATGAGAATAGCGTCAATTCCAATCATGAATCCAAATTATTAAGAGATTAGAGTTAATTAATGAACCACAAAATCACAAATGATGAGATTATTGATAGATAATGGTTGTAGGTCATTTAGAGGTCGTTTGGCAACACAGTTTTTCGGCTTATCAGACTTATCAGCCAACTGTTTCACCAAAACACGTAATTTTTACTTTCGCGCGCTGAACTGTGTAATAAGCAGAAAAAGTAAGGTTGAAATTACTTTTCTGGTTATATTGGATGAAGCTAATGTAAATGACCATTTTAGCTATTTTTACATATAATTTTTTCTTTATTTTATTAATAAAATGTATTTTAAAAATAATTTTTTCTTAAATCAGCAGAATCAGCCAATGCAGCCACTTCATCCAGAACTCCATAATTTTCAGCAGAATCAGCCGATTTTTCATGTTACCAAACGGGCTCTTAGAATGCGTATTTGAGATTATTTCTGAAATTATTACAGGCAGCGATTTAAAGGTAAGGATGTTTTCTATTGGACTGTTTTCAGTCCCAAACCAGTGTTAGAAATAGGAAAATTGTGTGAATGGAAAGAAACAAATAGGCAAGAATCGTGGCTGATTATTATAGCTATAATTAGATGATTTACTTTCCTATTATGAATGTAGAATCCCCTATATTAGTAGGTCTCGACATGTATGTAAAAATATACAAGGCATTTTGTTTTCTTCCAACATGTTCTTCTTCCCTATTGATTTTCATCTCAAGATGGTATCAGAGCGGGTTAAGAGACTAATGGGATTCAGATTATAAATTATCATCATTCTCCAAATACCTTTTCTCGACCTCTTTGCCAAGAGGCAGACAAAACCATGTCACATACAGAGGAGGATAAAAAGAAAGCTATGGTGAATGTCTCAACCGAAGACTTCGCACAGAAGTTCGCCGAGTTCCTGCAACAACTCTAAACTCCAACCACCACAAAGAAAACTGTGGTGAATCCTAAAAACCTGGGAGAGGTGATCATCTCTACAAAATTAGCAGGAGATAATTACCCTCTTTGGGTCAATCTCATGAAACGAGCAATTGGAGGAAAGGGCCTTTCCTCCCACATCTCAAAAGATTCAAACCTGCCAATAGAGACGGATCCGGAGTATGATTCGTGGCAACAACTCGACCATTGTGTCTTTGGATGGATCATCAATAACATGGACCCGGAGTTGGTCAACGAGGTGTCTCAATACCCCACAGCCAAGGAACTATGGGAAGGTCTCGCAATTACTTACGGCAGTGGGGGAGATCCTCTACAAGTTTATGATCTGCACCGGAAGGCAAGCAACGTCAAACAAGGAGACCTCACTCTCGAACAACTCTGGAATCGACTCTAAAGCATTTGGATGTCGATTGACCGAAAGAAGCCCAACCCAATGAAGGACCCAGAGGATATACAGATTTACAACAAAGAGAAGCAAGAGACGCGTCTCTTTCAATTTTTAATGGCGCTCAACGATAGCCATGAGGCAACCCGAAGGGAGATCCTTAAGAGAACTCCACTACCTTCCGTAAGAGACGCTTATGCTACCATCCGACGAGAAGCTACGAATGATGAGGTCCTCAAGCCGATGACATCCAATCCACAAGAAAGTCAAATCATCGGAGGAATTGGAGCAGGGCTTACCTCACGCAGCAGTGGTCGGCCGACCCCAAATCGCGGCGGATACAGGCAAGAAGAAGACCGAAGTCCGCTGACTTGCAGCCACTGCGGAAGAAAGAAACACACGAAGGACCAATGCTTCCTTCTAGTGGGATATCCAGAGTGGTGGGACGAGATGAAACGGAAGAGGGCCGCAAGGAGCGAGATGCAGCCGGCTGAGAGAGGACGTCGCACCACCGTAAATCAGGCTACCGGCACTGTGAATACAGTGGGCAACACTGATGGGCTCCTCGTCGGGAGCCGCGAGGCAGAAGGGTCGACTGGAAGAGAGGAATGGATATGGGAGCCACAGCTAGGATTTGCCGAGGAGCAATGGAGGCTGGAACGGGTAAAGCTTCTGATGTTTTACACGATATTTCAACAGCATGTTCTACATCTGGAAGTACTTATCAACATAGTGATTGGATTTTTGACTGCGGTGCAACGGACACCATGTCCTTTGAACTCTCGGACTTTGACAAAATTTCCAAGGCCCAAAAGAGACATGTTCAAACTGCAAATGAGGAATTGCTTCCAGTTCAAGGAGCAGGAACAATTAAAATATCGGAATCCTTAAAGATTCCAAATTGCCTTTATGTGCCTTCCTTAGCTCATAAATTGTTATCTGTTAGCCATGTCACAAAGGAGCTCAATTGTACATTGCTAATGCAGCCCTCCTTTTGTATGTTGCATCACATTCGGACGGGGACGATTGTTGGCCATGGCACTGAGCAAAATGGACTCTACTTTGTGGACGAGATAACTCAACAGGGTAACGCATTGCTGACTCACGGATCCCCTGATCGGTTGGCTTGGTTATGGTATAGAAGGCTAGGTCACCCATCATTTGTTTATCTTAAGACTTTGTTTCCCCAGTTTGAAAACTTCCTCACTTGCACTGTGATACATGCTTACTTGTAAAAAGTCATCGACATTCATTTGGTTTCAATAATACTCGTGTTGAAAATGTTTTCTCCCTTATTCATTCGGATGTGTGGGGCCCTGCACCTGTTCTTGGTGGAGGGGGGTTTAAATACTTTGTTCTATTCATTGATGATTGTTCTCGTATGACATGGGTGTATTTTTTAAAATCCAAATCGGAAGTCTTTGAGAAATTCACCTTGTTCTACGACTATGTCCAAACCCAATACCACAAAAAAATCCAAATTCTTCGTTCTGATAACGGGGGGGAATATGTTAACCACAAAATGAATGAATTCATTACAAAAAGGGGGATGATACACCAAACCACTTGTCCTCATACCCCTGAACAAAATGGGGTCGCCGAAAGAAAAAATCGGTCCTTGTTAGAAATGACAAGAGCCTTACTCATTGATTCCAAAGTCCCGGCCTCTTTCTGGCCTGAAGCCCTTGCTGCTTCAGTATATACCATGAACCGTCTCCCGTCCAAAAGTCTTGACCTCAAAACACCCATCCATTCCCTTTCTACACATACTAACATACCTTTACCTCTTACTCTTAATCCAAAAGTTTTTGTGTGCTACGTATTTATACACATTCCTAAAACTGAACGCACAAAACTCTCTCCTTGTGCAATCAAATGAGTATTTGTCGGATATGGAGTGCACCAAAAGGGGTACCGCTGCTATGACCCGAAAACCAAAAAATTGTTTGTCACTATGAACTGTGATTTCCTTGAGACAAAATTTTTCTATAACCAACTTAGCAGTCAGGGGGAGAATAACATCGACCCACTAAGTTGGTTACATCCCGAGTGCTCACCCCCGTGTCCTCATAAACCTCCTGCTCTCACCCCTAATCCCAGTCCTTCTATTCATGAACCAATAGACAATCAGGAAGGGGGACCAAAAGATGATGTTTGCAATACCGCTGAACATGTCTCGAGTCACAACTTGGAGCCCGTGGAGTCCAGTGTGCTTGTGCCAGCAGAATCCTTATCTGGTATTCCTAAGGTTAGTAACACTGATGTTCTTATTAAGTCTTTGGCTTCTGAAACTAACCATGAATGCAGTATGGAGGCTGAATCCACTCCTGTACGAGTGTTACCCCCGAGGAGTACTAGGGGAGTTCCGGCGAAGAGATATTCACCTGATTGGAAGGGACGAAAGACACTCTACTCAATTGCCAACTCAGGGAGAGCCAAAATGACTGAAAAGGCAAGAGCGTTTGAAGCTACGCTTTATGAGGAAGATATCCCTTGCTCCGTGGAAGAGGCCGTGAAACATGAGCATTGGAGGAAGGCTATGGAAGTGGAGATGAATGCACTCAAACAGAATCAGACTTGGGAGAAATGCCCACGTCCCCATGGAAAGAAGATAGTTGGATGTAGATGGATCTTCACGATCAAAAGAAGGGCTAATGGAACTATTGAGAGATACAAAGCTAGACTTGTAGCGAAGGGATACACTCAGACCTATGGGATAGACTACGATGAAACCTTCTCTCCGGTGGCTAGGATGAGTATAGTTCGAACACTTCTGGCAGTGGCAGCGAGTAAGGACTGGCCCCTACATCAGTTTGACGTTACTAATGCCTTTCTACACGGAGAACTGAACCCAAAACTGAAGGTATATATGGAGGTACCACCTGGTTATTCAGAGGAGTTCGAGGAAGGAGACGTGTGCAGACTGAGAAAGACCCTATATGGACTAAAACAATCCCCAAGGGTGTGGTTCGGTCGATTTTGTCAAGCAATGAAGAAGTATGGATACAAACAGAGTAACGCTGACCATACCATGTTCATCAAGAAGAAAGGACAGAAGATAACATGTCTCATTATATATGTGGACGACATGATCATCACTGGAAATAATATTGAAGAAATAAAGGAGTTGGAGAATAATCTCTCACGAGAGTTCAAGATGAAAGATCTCGGGGAGTTAAAATACTTCCTTGGAATTGAGATACTAAGATCCAATGAAGGGATATTCCTAAGACAAAAAAAATACATCTTGGATCTGTTGGAAGAAACGGGTCTCCTTGACTGCAAACCGGCAGACACCCCAATTGTAGTCAATCACAAGTTACAAATCATTGAAGGAGCTCCAAGTGTGAACCAAGGAAGGTACCAAAGACTTGTGGGAAAGCTCATCTATCTGGCCCACACTCGACCGGACATTGCTTACGCCGTGGGAGTTGTGAGCCAATTCATGCACAAACCACAAGAAGAACACATGGAGGCAGCCCTCAGAATTGTGAGATATCTGAAGGGGACAGTAGGGTATGGCATACTACTCAAGAAGGCGAGTAGTTTGGAAATCGAAGGTTATACCGATTCTGATTGGGGGAGTAACCCTATTGATTATCGATCCACAGCTGGATATTTCACCTTTGTAGGTGGAAACTTGGTTAATTGGAGGAGCAAAAAGCAGAAGGTTGTGGCTCTATCCAGTGCTGAAGCCGAATTCCGAGGAGCAAAGCATGGGATCACCGAGATATTATGGCTGTGAAGATTACTCACCGAGATTCGGTTTCCTCCGAAGGAAACAAGCAGACTGTATTGTGATAACAAGGCAGCCATTAGTATTGCAGAGAATCCAGTCCTCCATGATAGAACAAAACACGTTGAAATCGATCAGCACTTTATTCGAGAATAGATAGATGGAGGGATCATCGAGCTTCAATTCATTCGCTCCGAAGATCAGTTAGCTGATATCTTGACTAAAGTTGTTCATACCAAAGTGTTCAAAGAGTTACTTGCCAAACTAAGCATCGGAGATGCCGTTGTATAGTTTGAGGGGGAGTGTTAGAAATAGGAAAATTGTGTGAATGGAAAGAAACAAATAGGCAAGAATCGTGGCTGATTATTATAGCTATAATTAGATGATTTACTTTCCTATTATGAATGTAGAATCCCCTATATTAGTAGGTCTTTACATGTATGTATGTAAAAAACTAAAAATATACTAAGGCATTTTGTTTTCTTCCAACATGTTCTTCTTCTTCCCTATTGATTTTCATCTCAAGAACCAGATCGGACTTGACTTTCGTAGTTATAAAATACACAGATCAGACGTTTACCAGACCAGATCAGACCAGTTCAGACCAGACCAGATCAGACGAGACAAGCAAATTTCAGTCCAAAAGAAAACATGCTAAGAATCATAAAAAGTCTAATCATATACAAAACACGAATGAGATGCTCTAAGGACTCTAAAAAAAATTAACGGAGAAAACATAACTAAACACCGGTGGACTCGGCATGGGGCTAATTGGGACTGCCGTCCCCCATTTTTTCCTTAGGTATGTTTACTACGAAATTTTAATATACACGGAGTATGTTTTGGTATGTATTTTACACTGAAACATCTTCTAGCGGGAATTTCTGTGTCCGCCACTTTATCTAAATACGGTGACATTTTGTGAGTAAGCGCGTCTATATATATTCTTGGTGCATATTTTTGGGCTAGACATGCAAAAAATTATAATATATTTTGTTAACCGCTGGGATACTCCAAACAAACATTTGGTACTTGATTAAATTCACAATTTCCCTTACAATCATTACTTAATTTGTTGAATTATACCACAGGGAAGAGGTAAATGTTCCAATATATGTACTTACTTGATGAATCGGTTGTATGCTGAGGGGACTCGATGTCTTCTTTCTGGTGCTGTGCCCATCATATATACCACGCCAATACATTTTACATTAGCGCAATTCAAGATAAAAATTACTAGTATTACACAATAATCAAATGCCAAAATACAAACTAATTAATTAATCTCGTGCTGCTCAAATAGGGCCAAATTGGCAAATATATTCTTGAAGTACTTCTCTTATAGGGTTTATTATGAAAATGAAAAAAATAGGGGTCATTTTTGTTGTTTTTAAAATTGAAACGTCAAATGTTTATCCATTAAACTCCAATGGGGATTCAAACATGGTGGAGTGCTTTTATCAATTTATGTAGCCCGAATGTGGGTTAGGGTGCACGACATCACCCTAATTATTTATTTTTTTAGTGGGATCGTTTTAATTTATAAACTATAGAAGAATATGAGATCTGTAGTATCAAAATTTGGCTAGACTCATATAAATTAATAGTAGGTATAGTATATATTTTAAATGATCATATATGGAAATATGCATTCAAAAGTGACGTTTTAAAAAGTTTAGTAGTAAAACTTATTTGTTATATTTCTAGCTTTCTTATTTGTAAACGTTTTAAATCAATGAGCTGTGTAACTACATCTCATTTATTTAGACTTATTTGTAATATTTCTAGCTTAATTTGTAAAGATCACAACAGAATTATTTTAACCAATTTAGAAGTAACTTGATTGATAATTTTTGTATGATGATGGTTAGATCTGCCATAACTTGATAACTACTAAAATTTTATTTACTACTATCTTTGTCAATCTAAATTAATTTTGAATGCGGATTATATGAGAAAATGAAATCGAACCCTTTAAACTTTAAGACCTAGCTAGAGATTCATATCAGAATGAAATCCAATTAAGCCGTGGGTCGGTTTATTAGAATTCAAAAGATAGACCTCATTATTCTTGAATAAAGGTTTGAATCTACTTTTATGCACACAAATGACTCAAAAACGAGATAATCTTTGTTACCGCTATGGTAGGCAGAAACACTAGCTAATAGGTAACTTAATTTTTTCGATTTTTCAGTACATTGTTTTCATTTTTTATATTTAGCTCAGCTTACTAGTGTTATTAGAGTTTACAATAATTGCTCTGCACTAGTCAATTCAGATTCTTGGATAGTTGGATAGGTGGATCACCTGTTAATGATACTCTCTCCATTCGGCTGAGATTCTTTCAAATATTATTCACTTGGTCTTAATCTTTTCCTTTATATATCAAATTTTTTAAACAAATTTGATTCAAGTTTTTGCGACTTTTTAAAACTTTTAATGTGGTTTCTGAATTTGTAACTTTTTTTCCTAAAAATAATTTGAGAGCGCACATGGATCTGTTTGCTTTATGGTCGGTCAAGCATCGTAAACCGAATTGTCCCAATTTTAATGGGACGGGGGTGTAATATTAACGGCAATCAACATATAAGTCATATGAGTTCAGAAATCACAATTATAATTTTTCTTTTAAAAGAAATGATATTAATGGCGTATCAAAATTTTAAGAGATTTTAATTATATCTTTGAAATACGTTTGATATTTCTAGATATATACTTTTAGACGTTTCTCGAAAACCTTTCACGAACTTGCAATGTGACTGTGAGTAAGGAGATCATAGAATTTGAAACGAAAAAACATAGAGCCTTTGTTAACACTGAAATCCGCTTAATCATTTAATTCTGGTGAAATTTTTGAAGTTCTGACTTAAGTGCCTGTATTGCTGATTCTGCTTACTTACGAATAAATTATATTAAAAAATATATTTTATTATTAAAATAAAAAATATAAAAATAGCTAAAATGGTCATCTACAGTAACATTAGCCAACACAGTCAGAAAAGTAACTTCAATTTTACTTTTTCTTATTATTATACTCCCTCCATCCCGAAAGAAAAGGTTGGCTAAATTTTCTTTTTTGGATGTTCTAAAAAAATTTTTCATTTTCATTTAAAGTAAAGAATATGTGGCTAAAAGTTACGTGTTTGGTTAAAATATGTGTCAATAAATTTGATAAGACGAAAAACAGAATCATCACTATCATTTGAAAAATAATGTCATTATGTCAAATAATTGTGAAGGTAAAATTTCAAAATGTTAGCAAACTAGTCTTATATAGCAAAACATATAGCACCCATATTTCAAAAATCTATATTTGATTTTACTCCTATTTTGATAATTTTCCCCTAACTTTTTATTTTGTCCTTAAAATTCCAATTTAGAGAATTTTTTAGTGACAACTGATAATTAGAGTAAGATTTTTGGTAGGGTGGATGTGACAGATCTTATCCCTAATAACCTTTTTATGCCAAGAAAAGGCAGTAGCCCTAAAGGATGCAGAGCACGCAGTGATGGATCCCCATCTCCCTATGCTATGCGTGCTTCAATAAATTGGTGTCACTACTGACTTGGATACATATGATTTGTCACTATCACTATCAGTACTCTCAAATAAAGGCTTCAATACTTGAGTGCATATCTAACTTACTTTAATTTCTTAAACATAAAGAAAAACGTTAGGGCTATTTTATTCAAGAACCCCACCTATCCAAGCCCTAGATCCAAGGTAAACATAGCATGACATACTCAATCCAAAAATTGGTTTACTATTTTTTCTTAAATTCATGAAGTTGTGGCTAACCTGGAGCTGAATTAATTGATTTTGCTGAATTATGAAAATCATATATTTAAAACATATACTACTAATAAAGAAAACAATATATGAGAAATTGAAAAAATAGTAATCTATAGTAATTTGTGTTAATCCTGTTAGAAAAGTAACTTCAACCTTATTTATTTTGATGATTGTAAATTTCATCGTGCGAAATCAAAATTTACATGTTTGGTGAAAAAGCTATCTGATAAGAATGATCAGTTTAAAAACAAGTCAACAAACCAGCTCTTAATAGGCACATTTGATTTTAACCGCATTTTTATAATAGACTTAAGTTTAAAAGAAAAAGCTAAGGCTTTTTGTACACGTCGAGTCAAAATGTGTCAACAGACTTATTTGGTTGTGAAATTAGAACACACACAGCCTTGTATGTGAAGAAATGTATCTAAAAAAATCATAAACTATTCATACACACAAGTAGTGTCTATTAATCTGAATTATATTGATTTGCATGCTAAGTGCTAGCATAAATCTCGTGTTTATATGAAGAAATTTATGTGAAAAAACCGTAAATGATTTATGTAAAATCACAATTATAATGATTTGTGCACCCATATGTATGTGCAACTCGCACAAATTTATTTATGTCATAAAGTGGATCTTTTTGAAATGTGTAATAAAGTGGAAATCAATGTACATAACAACCTGGTTGAATTTTAAATGAGTACTTTGTTAAATTAATTTAATTAAGCAGAGAGAAAAAGGGAAGTTGGCATACGGCGTATGTGGCTGAGCCTAGGTTGCTCATCATGTTCTGGAGGACCAATAGCTGTTGACTTGTTGAGTTTCGAAGCCGTTGACCCACTCTCATCTTCATTGTTCCATTTTTGCTTCTGTGCCAAGGATTAAATGGTGTTAATAACAGTTTTTTAAGACAAATCACATGGAGTAAGAGCTGAAGTTTACTAATAAGATTTTATTAGTAATAAAAATGCATAGGATTGTATTAAAGGAGGGGGCGAGGAGGGCATGACCCTAAACCTCTAGACTTCCGGAAAGACGCTAACCAGTAACCACCTCATAATGTCGAAAACGCGAAAATGATAAAGATTGATAAAATTAAGACAAGAGTAAAATGAAAATGAAAAACGCAAAAGGGTACATTTTAGTATTTTACTTTTAATATTTTTCCTTGTTTCATTTTGGCCTGTATGTGTGATATTTGTATTTATTAATAGGAGTCCTACATAAGATACTTGTGTACTTTTTCTTAAAGTGTTGTCACTTAGTGCACTATTATGAAACAGTTCCTAGCTTAATTTGGTCGACCAGATTCTTCTAGTTTTCCAGCTATATTAAAATTAGGAATGTATGGTTCATGACGGAAAATGAATGTAGCCCTTACGTACAATGGATAATGAGCAATTTAGTTTCTCATTTCTAAATCTCTCACTTTTTTTGAAAGGAAATCTCTCCATTTTTAAAAACCATAACACTACATTCTTCTGTCGGGAAAATATTATGGAGGAGAAATTGGAAAAAGTTTAAGGATAGTGCACAAAATCTTGTAGAATTTAAAATTAAAAAAATGTGGAAAATCGAACAGAAATATCCATACTTCTGAAATCGATGGGTTAAAAATGGAAAATCTTGTGAAATTTAAAATTTAAAAAATGTGGAAAATCGAACAGAAATATCCATACTTCTGAAATCCATTCTTCTTTGTACAAAATCCGCTTGTGATTTTTTTGAACCCACATATTAAACACTTGGTAAAATACCACAAGTTCGTAAATTTTAAATATAATATAATTAAAATTGTAAGCTGTGTTAGCTTAAATAGTTTTTCGAGTAGATTTTCATCTACGGATCAGTATTTAAAGTCGACTGGTAATTTTGCTTCGTTAACTCCACTGATCAGATTGAGGAGTTATACAAAAGTTGGCCTAGAAAAGTTAGAGCTGATTTAGTATATTAACACTTAATCATCTGCTAAAGTTGATTTCATTTTCTAATTTGGACTCATTCAGAATTTCTAAAAACTCATCTTATGCCCTTAAGAGAACTGAATTCGAGTCTTTCGAAAATTCCATTAGATTACCAACAGTCACGTATACACAATGTGCACAATAATGAGTGTTTAGAACTGCTTCTAATTCTGTTTTAAAGCAGAATCAGAATCAGTTTTCGGAAGCTAGTCTCCTCCAGAATCAGAATCAGCTTCTAAAAAGCTGATTCTAATTTTGATTTTGATTATGCACAATGTGCACAACAATGCATGCACAACCTCCAGCTTCTAATTCGCGTGTTACTGTTCACGCACGTGAACAGTAACTTTTTTTTTTGTTTTTCATTGTTCATGAAAAGAATGTGATGGAAGTCGTGTGTAATGAAATGTAACTCGCGTTATTGATAAATGTAACTCAAATCCAGTTGAAATGTAACTTGCCAAATACATAGTATAAGAAATAAAATTTGATTTCAATGAAAATAAAGAGTCTAATTGTCCAATTATGTTACTCCCTCCGTAACATTCATATCTTCCCACTTTCCTTTTTTGGACGTAACATTTATATCTTCCCAATTCTAAATCTTCTCATCATACCCTCAATAATTTAAAAAATAATACACTACTACACCTACTTTTTTTGGATTTATCCTTCATTCCATCACATTATTTCACCATCTTCCCATCATACCCTCAATAATTCATACTCCATTTCACTATTCTTAATCTCACCCACTTTGGAAGTGGGAAGATATATCTGATACGGAGGGAGTACATGTAAAGAGTGTATATGTTTTGTTTTTTATATCAAGGTTATAAAAATGATTTTTTTATAAAAAAAGTTTTTATTTGAATAGGATGGGCTTATTGGGTTGTGTAACTCGCATTATATTTTGATGTAACACGTGTTTTGGAAAATGTACCTCAAATGTAAACAAGATGTAACTTGCTAAGAAAAGTTGACATGTAACTCACAGTATTAGATATGTAACATAAGCAAATCCTGATATAACTTGAGTGTGCGCAAGATGTAAGTTGAGTAAGGTCTAAAATAATTTATAGGGGGGCATCTTCAACATGTAAAAAATATAATATCGGAAAAAAATAATTGTGATCATGTTTTTCATATTTTAATAAATAAAGGAAATTAATACAATTGAAGAAGAATACGAAAGAAAAAGAAGAAGGAAAATCAGGAAGAATTGCAATAGAAATTGATAGAAGGGAAAGCAGGGAAAGTCGATTGGTGGAAGCTTTTTGCTCTGTGATAATAACATACGAATCATGATTTCAAAAAGTAATTAAGAAGCTAGATAAGATATACAACAACAATTGGCCGGGAAAATAATTAGTGCGTCGGTGGATGGCGGAAAAAAAAGAAAGCCGTGAAGGAGAAGAATAGCAGCCGGCTAAAGAAGAACAAAAACGATGTCGTTCTGGGTACCGACATACCATGAGCATGGTATAGCGGTCGTACGGTATAATTTGTTGTGCTTAGGGGCGTGCAGCCACACCTAAATATATGCATTTAGTGTAGTGATAGTGAGCAACTTTTAACCTAGCTATTTGGATCACTTTATATTTTACCATTCAAACCATGTCAGACTTAAACAAACTAAACTAGACCATCTCAAACTTAAACGGACTAGACCAGACCAAACTTCAACAGATCAGATCAAACTAGACTTGACTTCCATAGTAATAAAATACTCCCTTCGTCCCAAAAAATGTCACTTTGACTTCACACAGATTAAGGAAATGAATTTGATTTCACACTGTAGCGACACTGTTTGACACTGTAACGACACTGTTTGGCACTGTTTGGTATAGATTTGTTTACCAAATAAGGAAATTAAAGAAGTAGGACATTTATTTCGAGACATCTATTTTGGGGTAGTAGGACATTTTTTTTGGACGGAGGGAGTACACAGAGACCAGACGTCTAGACCAAACCAGATTTAAACAGACCAGACCAAACCAAACTTAAATAGACCAGACCAGACTACCAAATTACAGTCCAAGTAAAAACATCCTTAGAGCTATTGGGATACACTTTATATTTAACCATTCAAACAGCCCTTAGAGTTAGAGAGAGAATTTCTAGGTCATGTATTTCGATATGACTTTGATATACACAAGGTAGAGGGAGGGTATGTACCTGGATTATATCTTGAAGAGGGAGAGGGGGAAGGAAATTAGAAGTCATAGCAACAGAGAGCAAATTGCTACAGTGCCCACATCTCACTGTCACAAAGCTGAACATGCTGCTGCTTGCTGGAACACTCACCTAAATCCATCCATACCAATATCAATATATTAATGTAGTTTTAGTTTTTAATGTATGCAAAAACTTAACCTTTGTAGAAAACAGTAAACTACTTTCACTGATGATGATAACTCCAGTACTAATTAACTATAATAGGAAGTGAAATAAATGATGATCTTCAAATAAAATCCACCATTTCCGTATGATACTCCGTATTTAATAGACAGAGTATATGCGTAGCTAGGTATTAGGAGAATAGTTTAAATGTACCTGTTTTTGACTAAATAATTTATCGAAAAAATATTATTGTCATTAAATTTTAATTACCTTAGGAAACTCTTATGTGGACTGTAGACTCACTTTACTTATGAGGTTGAAGGACTTGGATGTTTTTTGTTGGATTGTTTTCGGTCCCAAATCAGACTAGACTTAAACAGACCAGATCAGATCAAATCATATCACACTTAAAATACTTTGTACACAAAGACCATACATACATTTACTAGACCAGACCAGTTTAGAGTTCAGACCTGACCAAACCAGACCAAACATGACTTAAATAGACCAGACCAGACTACATCAGTAAATTTCAGTCCAAGTAAAAACATCCTTAGCATCAAGACGCAAAATAAAATATAGTATAATAAAATGATTTCCTTTAAAAATAGATGTAATGCAGCAAACCCTCTTGTAATATAGAAATTCAACTTATTAATTTATGTGGTTTTAAAAATGCATCAAATTCGCTATAATTAAATTATTCATGCACATAACTCTTTCTATAAAAAATGTTTGTTTTTTTTGGTAGAAACTGCAGAGTTTGTAATCAATAAATTATTTTACATAAATGGTTTATTATTATTTATAATACATAAAAGTAATATGAACATCGTTAATTAGTTACTTTTTTCTTATAAGATTATCATACCTCCGTCCTATTTTAGCAAGCTATCTATGACTTTTTCAGTCAAATATAGTAAACTTTGAAATTTTGTTTTAACTAATATATTAAGCAAAATTTAATAATTTTATATTTTCGTGACAATATTTTTTTGAAAGAACTTTTATATACCGTATCATTTTCATATTATCAATACTTGTGTATATAAATATATAATCAGTTAAAATTAGACTTCACTTTAAAAGTTTAATTTGGTTAACTAAAAAGAGAGGAGTGCATATTTAAATAAGTACTCCTATATCAATCTAAAGTGAAAATTTTCTAACTAGAAAAGTGGAAGCAAAGTAACAAATCTTTGGTGTGAGGGAGGAACCAGTTACCTTACCATTACAGTGTCCAGACATATGGAAGCGTACTATGATGAGGTCTGGTTCAGACAAAAAGAGAATGCAATTTGACTGTGCAAAAACCAAGGCACTCGTGAAATTAGGCCACTTCATTAATTTTAGGGTTGGGCAGTATATAGGGGAATAATCCCAAGAATTGGTTCAATTTTGTGGATATTCTACAGACCGGTATGATCAGGTTTTGTTGCTTCTACAACCATTTCGTTTCATACAATGTCAAAACAAGATGTTACACCAGATTATCTGTCTGTGTTCAAGGAAACAGAACCTCAACATCTAAGGGTCATTTTGGTTGGGGATTCCGGAGGAGATCGAGGGAAAGGGAGAAGTCATATTTCAATTTAAAATAATTTCTACATTTACAAAAAATTGAAATAAAGTGAATATAAAACACAGTATCATGTAAAAACACATAATCTAACGAATTATGTAGTAATTTGTGATTTTGTTGTATAATACTAACAAATTAAATGAATTAGTAAAATAAAAAATCAAATATTCTCTCCCTTTACCTCCAAAATGTCCATACCAAACAAGCCCTAAATCTCGAAAGTATTTAATATTCATAAATGAAACTCTTAAGGCTCGATGCTTCCAGGTCAACGCTAATATATGGACTAGTTTGAAATCTTAATATATTACTCCGTAATTTATTACGGAGTAGTTTATATTTTACCGATCATAGTATTAGGTGTGGCATCATTCGTTTTTCATCAGTTCAACTAACTCTTGTTATTTTAATAATCATCGTCATTTTTATTTGTCATTTTTCTGATACAATTTTAAGGCTAGGGGTTTAACGTCTAATTTTCATCTATCCCCACATAAGTATCTTGAATACCTAACCTTCGTCCCTTAAATTTTATCAATTTTCTTATTCTTATCATCCCAATTTTTCGCCACTTTCACTTTTAAGTAAATGGTTTATGGTTATTTTTATTATTTCTCTTTTACTCTGCACAAAATTTCAATAAGTGACATACTCCCTCCGTCCCTAAAAGAAGTTCCATTTCGCTTATCGAGGGTCAACTTAAATCATTCTTAAACTCTTACTTTTTATATCAAAATTTTATAAAAGTTGAATAATTTTTTGCAGGCTTTGTAGCGTGTTTAATGTAGTTTCTGAATATGTAAATTTTATTTACTAAAAATAATCCGAGTTTTCACAGGGATCATTTAACTTTATCGTCGGTCAACCTTCGTAATCCGCAATTGAAACTACATTTAGGAACGGAGGGAGTAGTTTTTACTACGGAGTACTCCGTAGTTTTCACATGGCATGCAGGAATGCTGATTAATTGAATAACCTAACAATGAACTTATAATTCAGGACTTAATTAGTTAATCCCCTTACCTTTTCTTGTGTTTTGTTTTATTAATGATATTGGCATAAATTTCAGTAAAATATTAGGGCTGATTCCTCCAAATTTGCTTCATTTCCCATCCCTGACATTATTTGGATGCTCAATAATTATGAGCTATTGATGACTTTTTGTTTGGGAATAATGTGAATTGCTCAGATCAGTGATTCAGAAAGAGATTGATCGATGAAAGCCGACGCCAAGCGAAAATGACATGACTTGACCTAATCCTTTTCCCAATAATAAATCCACCTGGTTCCCATCTTTTTTTATACGGATTATATAAAAATGAGAATTTCAAATATGTAAACTCTTATTTCCATAAAAAATGAGAATAAGTATGATGCATATATATGAATTTCAAATTTAATTGTTCTACATGTGAAAATAATTATTAATTGATTAAATGCAGTAATATTGCAACAACAAATCAAAATCTTCCTTCACTACAGAAAAATGAATGATTTAACTTCAATATTGTACGGAGTACAATGTTACCATAAACTCCATGTGTAAGTGCAGGCTGTGCAGTCGTCGTTTGCAATGTTCATGGGCACATGATTTTTATTAGGGGTGGGCACGGTCCGGTCCGGTCCAATATTTGGCCGAACCCGTACCCGTACCGTTACTATTGAAACGGTTCGGTACGGTACGGTCTTAGACCCAAACCCGTTCGGTACGGTCCATTTTCAAACGGGACGGTACCATGCCATGCCATACCAAACAATGCCACTTTTTCCAGGTGTTTAAGAAAAAATTAAAGTTTAGCCAACCTCCAAAAATCCACACAATTTATCAATTTTCATATATCATACTACCTTCATTCCAAATTAATTTGCAAAGTCGATCTTTTTTTGGTCAAACAATTTCTTTTTATTCACTTAATTAGAATTTCACTTTTTAATTATATTCTAATTTGTCCTTTCAAAAAAACTACTCCGTACTTCGTAGATTTTAATTTGGATTTTGCAACTTTAGAGAGATTTTAATGTGGTTTCTAAATATGTAAATTTTAATTATTAAAAATTATATGAATTATCAAGAACTTAACATTAACTTTGACAAAACAATGTTGGCTTTGCAAATCAATTTGGGACGGATGATGTAATTAATATATTTTAGATAAACTATAGTAGTACAAATTCAATAAACCATACTTCGGTCCGGTTCGGTCCGGTACCGGTTCTCATTTTATGAGAACCGGTCATGGCATTGTTTGGAACCGGTTCGGTCCGGTTCGGGACAAAAAAAATTAAGATCCGTTTCAAACCTCGTTTATCGGTCCGGTACCATACCGGTCCGGTTCGGTATCATGCCGGTTCGGTATTTTTGCCCACCCCTAATTTTTATTGGGGTTTCCCCCAAAAATATTACTAACATAATTCTTAAATTTATAATTGAACATAAGTGATCATGATTAATTCATTACAACAGTCGTTAGTCACATTCTTGTAAAAATTAATTCTACTTTTGGTCTTATGAGTTTTATATCATCCACGACATTCGTTTTATCCGTTTCTTGTACTTGACTAATGTTTATGGCAATTTTAATCACCAGAAAAAATGACGAAAAGATCATATAAGAGCGAAAAACAATAGTCACGTATCAAAAGTGAACAAAATGTGAAATTTACATAAAACTCATTGGACTAAAAGTGAATTTTTTTCTTTTTGGAAACTACTCTATATTAATTTTAATCATAAATATGTAGCTATTTTATTTTTATTTGGTTCAAACTGTATATGTACATGCTTTTTATCACTTCCTCATATTTATGTAACTTTTTTTTTATAGAGATACCTAAAAACATTAATTAAGCATAGTGGGTAAGTTGATAATTTAGAATGACGTATTTCACATATACTCCATATAAAAGGCGGTTTAAAAAAGAAAGAAATATGCAGAATGTAGAGGTCAGAAACACTAAGAAAGGGTACTGCATATGGAAACTGGAAATGGAATTTAATGGTGTGAACAGAAGAACCCACCATCCATCACCAAGGTGGGCTGCTGCATTATATTATAGCATCATAATAATTAAATGTCCTCAAAATTAGAAAAATGCAAGTATATTTTGATGCACTTAAATTAGTAAAAGCACTAGTAAAAAAACTAGTCTAATTTCAATCATTAATCAAATACTACGTAATAAGTACTCCGTAACTATTTTCGTATGCACATAAATCAATTTTTTTTTTCTTTTTTGATCAGGAGAATTAAGAATATACTCCATTTGTTCCTTAAACTTTATCATTTCTTAATAATCTAGTTACTTTGTTAGATTTTACGGAGTATATTTTAAAGAAGGTATACTACATTATATAATAAAAAAATGATATGGAGTATGAAATTTTTATGTTAAAAACACTCATAAAAATAAAAATTTATAACTTTCAGAGAAGTACAATAAAAAAACTTTCACAAAATTGTACGGAGTATTATTCAAAATCATTAATCAAAGTTTATCACATTGACTTGAAAATGTGGTAGTATGATTCTCTAATTCAATTGTTTAGTCAAGTTTTTTTTAAAATCAACTAAAGCCCTAATTATATACCCCATCCTTCCGGAAAAGGTTGATCAAATTTCCTTTTTTGGATGTCCAAAAAAGATTTGACATTTCTATTTAAAGTAAGGAATATGTGGCTAAAGTTAATTATCTCTCCTCTGCACAAATTTCAACCACACAGTTTTTACTTTATTAATCCACGTGAAAGTCAACTTTGGCCGACCTTTTCGGGACGGAGGGATTATATTCAGCTCAAACAGAATAATAAAGTTAGAAAAAAATTAATCAATCAAAAGAAAAAAATTAAAACATTTCTCTGCTGTCATCCGGTCAAGCCAGATCTTTATTCGAATAAATACTAATTCAATGGAAAAACAAAAGTTTACACTTCATTTTCACTTTAAAAAGGGACTCAATTCTATTTGGAATCATTTAAGTTTTCAACTGATCAACACCCCAAAAATTGGTTAAATTTCTTAGATTTTGTTTCAATAATTAGCTCACTATTAGAATTTGCAACTCAACTTTAGGTTTTCGGATGCAAATAAATTTCGAAATAAGGATGAGATTCAGAAAAAAGAATTCCGTAATTTAATGCCTTAGGAAAGGCCAAAGGCACACCAGTGGTTCTTAGAGATTTTCAGTTGGATGGATATCGATTTCCTTTCCATTCACATTAGGGTTCTTCAATATGGCAAATAACCTTTATAACCTTTTCTTTCCTACTTCAAGTTCTTGAATATATAGAAAGAATCTACAGAATACATATACATATACACACACAAATAATGTGTTTCATATATAAGGGAAAAAAACTCGTCCAGCCGTCGACCGGACAAGATCCTCCGTTCGGCAGTCGCTGTTTGGAGCAGCTCCTGAAGAAAGCTTTTGATGAAATTTTTAAGGCATATTATTCATATCCACAAAATTTCAGTTTAAAATTCAATCGAGAAGTAGGTGATATAACTCAGAATCACAACAGACCCCATTAGATCACGAGCTCCCGCTTCACAATTAACTCTCATTTCTCTAAGAAATTCTAGATTATTATAAAACACTTAATACTTCTCTGCACCCATCACTTTAATTTCATATAATCTTGTATGATATTATAAGGTAGTATAACATATGTTTGCATTGATGGTTGGTGAATTAAATTGTAGTTATATTATTATATGGAAGGGTATAGCATAATTTATATTTGGGTATTTAAATGTACATACATATATATAGATATATATGTGATGAAGCATATATATATATATACAGAATCAAAATAATCGAGATGTATGGATGTATGTATACCGCGAGAACAGTGCTGCAGAAATTGCACTGAACATAGCCGACCCTTTCTAAGGAGCAGAAAGAGATATCCATAGTCAGGTCTCTTCAATTCTTGCAGATCCGATGAGATGGTAGAATTGGTGATGATGATGGAGTAGAAGCTTTGACTCTAAGTTATATACTGTATAAATATATAGATATAGATTTGGGAGTAAGAAAAGAAGAAGAGAATATACTTACCATCCAAATCAGCAGCCTTTGCTAGTGGCAAATGAAATTATAGCAAATGAGCCTCATGGGAAAAAGGGGTGGTTCATGACCGCTGTGGACTGTGGTAGGGTAGCAAATTAAATTAACATCACTTTGCTTAGGCCAGATAAATACCTCGAGTGTTACCTTTTCTTTTTAGCCAAATTAAGTTAGAAATTTGGGGGTGTATTGTATTAGGAGTTAGTGGCAAAATTTTAAAAATCTAGGGATTTTAAAAGCTCAGGTGTATTCAATGTGGACTTTTAAAAGTCTACAAAAGTCAAGGTGTAATCAATAAAAACTATGGAAAGACTATAAAAGTCTAGACGTATTCAAAGTTCTGTTCATTCTTATTGACTTTTCAATCATGGATACTCGTGGACTTTTAACTCATTTTTAGTACATCAATTCTCTGAAATTGTCTCTTCTCATCACACAGATTTTCCTGGACTTTTCTTATATCCATTCTTCATCCCGTCTCACCATCCCTCCTCCTCCTCCTCCCCAGGCAAACCGAAGAAGAAGAACGGAAGGAGAGGGGTGGAGCGAGCAGGGCTGAGGAGGAGGGGAGGAGGGGGCACTAGTATGTCATCAATTAATTATTAAGAAAATAAATATTTTAACTATTACTTTATGTCATCGTTATATTTCTAACACATAAAAACGTAAATATATAACCGTAAATATGTGTGCAAAATTTTACAAAATAGAAATGAAAAGAAAACAATTATTCAGAAGAAAAGCTCGATTGCATCCATACTTGTACCTTATGTGTAATGATTAATGTTCTTACTCATTAATGAAATGATCAAAATTCTTGAGCATTATTCTTGAAAGTTTGAGTTTTTTTAATAAAAAAAATGTGGATTCTTATGCTTCATTGATTCTTCTAGAACTCTGTGTTGTTGTATGAATTACATTTTTAAAGTTGTGACTTTTAATATTTATTAGTCCTAACAACTTGTGTACCAAATCGAACTAAACCAAACAGTCAGCTTCTTACCAAACAGCTACCACCTTTTCTTTTTAAGATCTTTTCAGTCACTAAAAGCTAACAATTATTAAAAAACTCACAAATGTATCTTTTCAACTAGTTGTGCCAAACATACTCTTACTAAACATACAGCTAGTAGTCTTTAGAGATTTTTTAAATAGTACAAAATTTAGAAGGTAAGAGCTTATGTCTACCAAACATGCACATAATCAAATTATAAACGTCCTAACTCCTAATAAGTCCAAAAGTTGAAGTACAAAAACGTGATTATTGATTTTTCAGTGCAACCTCGTCGTAAATGCCCCTTCTTTAAATAATGAGTTAATTATCAAAATAGGACTAAAAGTCATTCACTTTGCACAAATAGGACCAAAAAATAAACTATGTTTCCATAGGACTAATTATGTGTGTCTTGGACAAATATACCCTTATACCTATTGGAATGTTTTAATTCATAATAAAATAATAAAAAATAATAAATATTCGTAAAATATACCAAAAAAATAATAAAAATATTTTGAATAATAATAAATTTAAAAAAATATATATAAAAAAAATTAAAAAAAATAAAAATAAAAATAAAAAAATCAAAAAAATTTATTGTCACCGCCGCCTCTGCCGCCCTTGCACCACCACCTCTAGTCATTTGGGGAAAAAATGCCAAATTTATTATTAATTCCATATTTTTGGCATAATTCAGAATGATTTAAGATGGAAGAAAAAAAATGTTGGCATTGTCAAAGAAAAATATGCCATATTTTTGACATTTTCCGAAAAAAATGGAAGTTTGTAGGAAATATGACATTTTTTTAACGGTCGGAGGTGGTGGTGCAGGGAGGCGGTACCACCACATGTTGTCACCAGGGTAAAAAAATGCCAAAAAAATTATGAATGCCATATTTTTGGAAAAAGTCAAAAGGATTCAAGTTGACAGAATGAAAATGTTGGCATTCTAATAGAGAAATATGCCATTTTTGTGGAATTTAAAAAAAAAGTGACATTTTTTACACCGATCGGAGGTGGTGGTTCAGGAGGTAGTACAGGCGGTGGGAAAGGTATCCATATTTTTTTTATGGAGTTTTACTATTTTTTATTAATTTTCAAAAAAAAATTTAATTTTTTTTCTTATTTTTTATTTTATAAAACTTTTATTAATTTTTTTATTATTTTTCTACGAATTATTGAAATTTTTTCGAATTTATTATTAATTAAACATTTAATTATGACTTTTAGCTATCTTTTACTAATATTTAAAGGAGGGGTAAGAATGGAAGGGAGAAATGAGTATGTTTCCAATAGGACCACTATGGTCCTATTTTGGAATAAAAAACATAGCAAGTCCTATTTTGAGTTTTTGACATAGTTTTAGTCCTATTTGAAGTAATTTCTATATATGTAATGTAATTGTTCTAAAAACGCATACTACCTCCCTCCGTCTCATAAAATTTAGCCAATTTTCCATTTATTGTTGTCCCAATTTTGAAGGAGAACTTTTGTCCCCGTAAGACTGATCAGACTCATCGAATCCATGGTCAAAGAAGTGAGGGGCAGGATTCCGACAGTGCGAGCATGGGTGCCGGCAGTCCATTTAGGGATTCAGGTGGCTGGAATTTTAGAGAGATGTGGGAGTTTCTCTCTCATGTTCGTAACAAAAGAACTCTCCTTCTATTATCATTGGGCACGCGGAGAACTTTTGTCCCCGTAAGACTGATCAGCTTGTATTTCAACACACATTTAGGGAGTGTTTGCAATCACTTAAAAAAAAAGCACTTCTCAGCTTTTGGCTTAAAAAAGCACTTATTTACCAAACACTACCAATTTTTACTTTTTCTCGGCTTGCGTGTGAAAAGTGTTTTTCCCTTTTCTATTACACAAAAAGCACTTATTTTACCAAACACTACCAACTTTTACTTTTCAAAATCACTTTTTTCTCAAACACTATCAACTTTTCCTACTAATCACTTTTTACATACATCTCCAAAAGTGCTTTTTTTAAGCAGAAGCAGTTGCAAACACTCCCTTAATGCGTGTTGAGATTTTGGGAGTGTTTGTGATTGTTTGTGCTTTTCAAAAGTGATTTTTTAAGAGATTATTGGAAAAATGATTTTATGTAAAAGTAGATAGTGTTTGGAAATAGAAGTGATTTTTATTAAAAGGTAAAAGGTAGAGTGTTTGATAAAAAAGTGATTTTTTTAGTAGATTGTAGAAGTACATATTTACCCTTCCCAATTAAATAAATGCCAAAGGATCCGTCTCTTTCCTCAGCTTTCTTTCATCGCAGCAAGCACTCTATTCAAGGAGCTAGTTCCAGAGCTTGGATGGATTTTCAAAAATTCTAAATTTGATTCCTGCAATTTGTTTCCATGTCCATCGAATTTTGTTCTTCCAATTGCTTCCAGTAAGGGTCTACTGGTACTCTTGGCAATTTATTTGGAATTTGACTCTCATGTTCCCTTATCTCCATGCTTCTCAACTTCAAAAGTGAGCGATGATGATGAAGACTGCTCCTCTTGTAAACCATCCTTATTTTCATAAACGTATGGACATTATGCAGAAGTTGAAGCTATTTCATCGCTATTCTCATGGGCGGAGCTAGGGGAGGGCCATCCCTGGCCCTAGCCCAGCCCAAATTTTAAAAATGCCTATATTTTTAGTGTAAAAAATTCTATGTAAAAAAATTTCAAAAAATATTCTTTGTATCGGCCCAGTCTGGCCTAGTGCCCTAGCTCCGCCCCTGGCTGTTCTTGTTGAACATTTGATAAAGCCAGCTGACTAAGGTCTGAAAGCGAGACATGGAGCCAGACGAAAATGTACTAGGAGATGAGGGTATCTTTGGTCCAAGGCAAATACACGCTCCATTATAGCCCTCCTTGAAGTTTGAATTAATTACAAAAAACCAAGAAGCACTTGGAAGCACCCCCAGCTCTGGCTTCTAACTTTTAGCTTAAAATGCCTTTTTAAAGTAAAAGTAGTTGTTTGCAAACACCAATTTCTGCTTTTTTTTAAGCTAAAAGCTCATAAGAACTTATTTTAATCAATGGAAAACACTATCTGAGTTTTGTCACTTTTCCTTATTTATTTGTGTCACAAAGTGTTTATTTAGCTCAAGTCACGGTTTACCGAGTTTGGTTTGCATTCATTGAAGAAAAGGAAGAATTCAGACCCAGCATCGGCATTTGAGCTTAAGTTAAGATGATTCGAGATGTGTTCGAGAGGTAGCGAGAGGCATCAGAGGTCCACGGGATGATTTCGAGACACAATTTGAGGCTTGGAAGGTCAAAGATTGAAGATAGGATCGATTGGGAACAAAGGGGGAAGAAATAGCAAGAAAACGGTTCGAGAGCCATCCACGTGCCCCGTGGGTCAGTACCGCATGCCCATGGGTGATTTTGAGAGCTAGAAGTCAAGAAGTTTGAACCGCATGCCCCGCGGTTGAAACTGCATGCCCCACAGTCCAGAAGCACCTCACAGAAGTGCGCGCACGTCGTGCAGGTGGAGTAAAAAATCGGCGCAGATTATTTTTCGCACGACCGCAGTGTGACCCGCACGCCGTGCGGTCTGCAATTCGCCTACTTTTTGGATTTTTTCTATTTAAAGGCCTTGTTTTGGCCGTTTTTCATACCGGAGCTTAGAGAGATGAACCCTATTTCGACTTTTGAGAGCTTTTTCAGCCTTGTTCTTCAAGATTGAGGGATTCTTTGTAAGTTCTATCTTTTAAATTAATAACAATTAATTCTTTTCATCCCAATTCTACTGATTCTTCAATTATGAGTTGTGAGTAGTTTTAATTAGGGAATGATGAAGTGGTTAATTATTATGTATGACTAGTTTCTTGATGGTTTAAATTGCATCAATCTTTATTTAATTTGCGTATGAATGATTTAATTGTTATCTCTTGTAACCTTGAATAACCACTAGGATTATAATTGTATGTAAAATACTAGTTTTGTGTCGCGCGATGCGCGAATAGAATAATGCCCAATACCATCTATATGCAAACCGCTAAACATTAACATATTCTTTTGATTAGGACAATTGATTTACAATACATTGCACATATTGATTTGTAATTGTCCAAGTCAAAAATTGTCATTGACCGCGCGAATATGCATTTATATGATCATTG